ATAGAAATGAGGAGCAAAGAAAGGCTGGAAGAGATCGAGAGACAGTATCCACAATAAGCTCGGTAGTAAAGAGGACTCAATAATAAAGAGCGAATTCGACGCTATATTCCATCCCATATCAGAAACCCTAAGGATGAGAACCCTATGCATTCGGTACAGAAATATCAAAGAAATTGGTAGATTTACGACTCGTAATGAGAACACAGCTCTTGATTCGCTTGATTTGTACATTATATGCCTTACCATTTGCACGACAGATGTCTGATAGCAATAAACTGTAACCTGGCGTGATGTGTGTCTATACAAACTAACCGGCTACGGTTTTCTAAGAACATACTTATTGATGTTGATGCCTGGAATATCGGGGACAGAGGTTAATTTCGGTGTCTACAGTCATCAAGTTTGCACGCCAATGCACCGGTTTAGGTACTGCGCCGCATAGCATAAATCATATGACACGATGAGATTTACCACGACTAGACTGCACTAACACAAAAATTCTATGCGCGCTCTTGCAAAACGCTTTCGTGGTTTGGTAATGTCCCTAGAAATCTATAAACCGGGTCGATTGAACTAAGTATTGCTACAACACGGTGGTATCACTGCGGTCTCCAGATGGAGACCTAGATTTCTAGCACAAAATGTGGAACTGAAAGCACCGTCAGATCACGATTTAGTTTGCCCTAGGCCATTATCAACGGGTATATGCGAAAATCGTCAGAGATATCTAAGTGGCTGAATTATCTTGGCACAGACTACTGTCCGTTTTACCACTGTAGTTATCAAAACTTGCTTGTATTAATACCAGATTGTTTTACGTTGTAGCGACTAAAGAGATTAAAAGAAATGTTAACATCTAGCAGTATTTATCTTCTCTCGGTTCTAACGAAGTCTGTTTCCTCACTTGTAAGACAGCGTTGTGCACCTGGTTTGAGAACAGCATACTTATACTATTCGTTGTTAATATCAAGCAAATGAATACACTACGGAAAGGGTAGAAAACACTGGATAAGGACCGAACCCAATGATGGGTCCTAATACCCATAGAACATACATAAGCTGTCAGTGAAAAGAATTCCTGGGATTCCAAACACAGTGTGATTCAAGTAATTCTTCGACTCAATCAGGTTAGTTGGCACAAGTGGTAACCCTGCACTACAGTGCCCTGGTTTCGGTCGCTGTATTTCGACTTTTTGGTGTTGGTACACCTTTTGGGTATAAAAGGCCTAAATGTCTCCTAGTTATTAAAATCTGTGCTGCACACAGATATATATATATATATATACCTAAGCGGCTTTCGAATAAGCATGGTGCCAATGCAATAACAATAATAACAATTTTAGAAGTTTCTTTCAAAAATTATTAATCAGGTTGTATTGCCTCTCAGGGTTTAGGTAGATGTGCATACGCCTCATTTATCATTCAAGCGATCTCAATACAGAGTTTACAAATGAAAGATCATTCGTTCAGTGGGATTAGGATGTACGACAAAAAATAGGGAGGACAATTGAGAGGTTACTAGTGTGTTTACCGAATGTATATAAGCGATCTACAAGTCTGAAATAAAACAGATTATCACTGACAAGAATTCTTACCACAGTGATGGCTATTAAAGTGCCAATAGTTGACCCGGACAGCACATCGCTCCAGTGGTGCTTGTTGTCCACAATACGCGAAAGGCAAACCGCAAGGCCTAGGCTAACACAGACGGCCTGCAGTCCCACACGTATTGCCGGAGTACCCAGACGCGGCCAACGCAATTGGAAGTATATCTGACGTGTGCGAAACAGAGGGGAAATGAGTTGGACGTGGAAAATGCGTATTCAGATCACCTTTGAAAGAAATCAATCGTTTTATTTAGTTACTTACCGCGCTAGAACTAATTTCCACAACAGCGCCGAAATGTCACTCCAAAATCAACATAAAGCAAATGAACTCGAAAACGGATGACTCGAGCAAAGCGGAGAATGAGACCCAGATCAATTATCGAGGATAGAGTAGTGGTTATGCGATGTGATTTTTCAGTGGTACTCCAGCTACTGCCCGATGTCTGATTTTAATCAATATGGTGTACTGTGGAATAAATTACATGTGAATCAAGAGTACGGTTGAGAAAGAAAACACCTAGTATCGTTTGGATCACATGAAGCATCATGTGACACTTCGGGTGAATGACGTTTAAAAGCAACGTGGGGTACTCACACAAAGAAAGATTGCGCTATACATAGCAGTTGACGAATGTCCCGAGGGAAATGATTTCCTGTAAATAAATGAAGAGATGAAAATGAATATGTAAATTTCGTCGCTACAGGGATTAAAAACACAAGTCAAAGCGTCCATACCTACTTATGAAAAACAAATGCATGAACAATGAATCAAACGTTTCGGGTTAACTGCAAAAAATATTTTTTTCAAGTTGGAATCGAAGTTGCAACGAGCTGGAATAGTTCAATTACCAGTATATAGGTCACTGTGATTCTGTTTCTATTTCTTCCCAATATTATATTCAAATGATTACAGAAATAGGGTACTTACGACATGCATTCTCTGCTCGCTGGCTTGCAGAACTTTCTATGAACGGTAGGCTGTGGCTTACACAATTATAGTTTTCAAGTGGATAATACTATTAATAACCTTTTCCATTGACTGATTATTTGAATACACAAATGTGCAGTCTATTTTAAGGAACTGTGCACATCAAAGACTATCTAGAGGCATACAAAGATGGTGATGGGTTTCGAATACAACCTCAGGGACATTTGTAGTGATGACTTCACCGACTTTACCACCGTCACTCCTAAGGTCAGAA